TTACTTAACATCAGATCTATACGAAAATTTGCAGTATGGAGCAGCACTACTGCCCTTGCCCTGCTCTTATAGCTGTCTCGTTAATTAACACTAGGTGTCAGTAAGAACCCCCCCACCCACCCCCACACACAGGAAACAGGGGATCAGTACATGCCAACATAAAACCTGCAGGAACCCTTATGTTTAACTTAAATGCCACACTTCTAGAGCAATAAGCAGATCTCCTTTTACTTGCACTACAACCAACCTTTAATCAAAACGTGAACCAGTCAAACACACTGTACAGTTTATTAACACACACCCTCATCTAAGATAAACATGCACTGACCATAATTCCTTCATAGTTTACTTTTAGATCCAAATCATCTGTCCTAATTACCCCCTAACCTTTTATCTAACATTAGTAGAAGAATGCATACCCTGTGTCACTGCATATATGTGCGGGGAAAAAATAGGAGTCGGGAGGTTTTACTAGGATATCAGGACTAATTAAAAATGTATGAGACTATGTCAGCATGAGGCTTGAATGATGATCTTAGATTGGTTTGAAGGCAAAGACAAATGAATGTATGATAAACAGACGTGTGCAAACATCAGAGAAGTGGGTGCCACTGAAGTCCTTAGCAGGCTGTGGTGAGAGCAACACGAGATAATGTAGCAGAGAGCTTGAGAAGCGGGTGGACATGAAGGCACAATGGGCTGGAAGCTCGTGCATGCAGTAGCTTTAGATTTATGAAGAGCTGATACAGGGGCCTGGCCTCTTATCAAGACAGGTAATGCCAGCTATTTATAGATAATCTATGTATTGAGCACAGATGAGCCTCTGCCATAACTGTATATCAGATCTAACAGGAGTGGTGGGCATTTTTGTGCGTTTGATCAGATCTGAGGCTGGATCTTTCTGTGCATCCCATGTCTTTTATTTTGTCTTGACTGAGTTCCATGTTTTAGCTGTGTTGGCACTTTGCCATTTTCTTTCTTATCTTTTTTAACAGGGTTTCAAATGCATGAAGTAGAAACCCATACATGCTATTATTTTGCAGGAAATCCAAAGAAAACACACTTGATTATTACAATATATATGAGGGAACATGTGTTTAAATAATTGAGAAAGATTATGCTTCCTGAGTATAACTGCAAGAAAAGCATCGAATGTGGTTACATTTTGAAGTTTAAGCTAGTAGGCGTTTTGGTGATTGTAACCTACAATCACCTGCTGTACCTACACAGACAGAAAGAGAATCAAAGCTCAAATTAACATGTTATGGTGTTGTAATGGGTCCCAATTAGATACATAATGCATGCAAAGACTGACTTGAAAAGATGAACGTAGCCACAGTGAATGCAGTTATCCAGTGAATGGCCCACTTCCTTTTTGAAGGCTCGACTTGGGCTAAAGCCTATCTAGGGTGAAATACACCCTAGATACACCCTGGACAGGTTGCCAGTCCACTGCAGCGCTAACACAGAGAGACAGACAACCTTTTAGGCATACATACACACCTCACAGCAAAATTTGGAACCTAACATGATTATTTTTGGACTGTAATAGGTAGTTGGAGTAGAGCCCACACAAGCAGAAAGAGAACATGCAAACTCCACACAGAAAAGCCACAACTAGTTGGTGGATTTCAACCCAGGAACACAGAAGAATAAGTATGTAAGTAAGTAAATCCTATTAATTTATGTATATGTATATATACATATATATGTATATATATATATATATACATATATATACATATATATACATATATATACACATATATATACATATATACATATATATATATACACATATATATATATACATATATATACATATACATATACATATATATACATATACATATATATACATATACATATACATATACATATACACAGTGGGGCAAAAAAGTATTTAGTCAGCCACCGATTGTGCAAGTTCCCCCACTTAAAATGATGACAGAGGTCAGTAATTTGCACCAGAGGTA